ATATCATTAGAATTTAGTCTGATATATGAACAGCATAACCGACATCGCGTCATCAGGTGACATCCTTCTTACACCAAATCCAATTGCGATGAATTTTGATATAGAGACAGAAGGCCCTTGGAACTGTTTTAGTCCAATTTTTCTAATAGTGTTTTAAAACTTATAGTCGTTAGGGTGAGATTGGGGTAATTTTTGTACGAAACTTTTTATAGTATTGTACGATTTACTTCAAATTTATAATTAAAAAAAAAGTTAAAACACAGATCTACAAGATAAAAGGCGTGAGAATAATCATAAATTTAACAGGTTAAACATTTAAAAATTTTGTCTGATACATAAACAGCATCAGTGACATCGCAACATCAGGTGACATCTTACATGAGTTGGCCTTTCTGAAGACTGTGTAATGTATCCAGCCTTCATTTCGCTGCCATGTCACCTTCCAACCGGAACACAGCTTACGAAGTAAGCTGCTTAGCGGCAGGAATAGACAAGACTTAAGTATCTAGACTGACGTCGTTGCACAAAGTTTCCGTGTCGTAATTTAGTTTAAGAAAAATATTAGTAAATACGTTTATATGTTATTTATTTTTTTAATTGATGGCCTCGGTGTACTAGCAGTTTAGCACACCGCTTTATGTCCGGGTTTGATACCTCGCACGGTACAAATATTTGAGTATTATTGTTTGTAACAGTCTGGGTGTTTTCTATATATATTTATATCAGTTGTGTAGTAACCATAAGACAAGCTCTGCTTAGCTTGGGACTAGTTGGTGCTGTGTGAATTGTCCTGAAATATTGTATTATACTAGCGACTTCGTCCGCGTGGAATTTAACTTTATTTTTCTAAAATAAAAGTAGTCTAAGGTATTCCTTATTACATCAACTTCCTGCCAAAAAAAGTCCAGTCAACATCGGTCCAGCCATTTCAGAGATTAGCCCGAACAAACAGACAGACAGACAAAAATTGTAAAAAATGTTATTTTGTTGTATGTCCCGTATTTATATTCATATGCATGTATGTAGTAAAAAACGGTTATTTCAATATTACAAACAGACACTCCAATTTTATTTATATGTATAGATTATTAATATTTGTAAATCGTGAGTGAGTTTCGTCGAGTGTGAGTGCAACTCAAAATTAGCGATGGAAACCATGTTTTTGCAGCATTATGTCTTGTTGTGGTCATTACTTGCGTTTTTTTACGTCATTACTAACATATGTTTACTGAATTCCATTATATTCCTTATGTAAGCTGTGACGGCACATTTTTTTATTATTTATTTATCGATGTGGTAATGCGACTAAATATCTGACAGACTTATTTGTTGGTGCAGTTTTTCTTCCGGATTCCACCGTGAGTACTTACTACGATCCACTGAACTGTGAAGGTCTATTTGTACCTTCTGCCTGCCTGACTTAGGCTCGCTTACATACCTGAATACAAATGTTTATTTCGGGTGAGAATCTATTACGGAGAAAATCAGACTTTTGTTATAGAAAATTTCTACGATAAAAAATAAACTTAATTTATGAACGTAGCATAGACTCGATCGACTGAAGCTGTTTTTTTATTATTGAGGATTTCGGGCTATTGTTATGTGCTAAGACCTGTAGCATTGCGACCTGTAGCTGTGCTCGTTTTCTTTTCTTCTAATAATAATAAATAAAAATAATTTTCAAACTTCGCTACCTAAGATCCGTTCGGAACAAGAATTATAGGATATTGTTAGGATATATGATATATATTGGTTTTCTAAATTTTTTTTTCTATACTACAATGGTGGCAAACAAGCCTACGGCCCATCTGATGGTAAATGGTTACTGTAACATATAGACGCCTGAGACACAAGGATAGAGAGACAGAGACCATCCAAAGGAGATATTTTGTTTATCCATGAGTGGGCCTTTTCTCGAAATTACTAATTACTAAACTTAAAAAATAGTCTAAATAACTACTCAGAGTAGGTAATATAATTACGAGATTCGCAATTAATAACGAACAAAATAGCAAAATTCAGTCCGAAATCCACTAACTACCACGCAAACTTGTAAAGTAATCCCGAGATAACTGGAATAAGTAGCGATGTAATGTGGGTGTACCGAATGTCAAAGGTCTCCATTTGACATTAAGCGATCGCATTTGACGTTATAAAAGATTTTCCAGAGGGAGACTTTGAATAAAGTGATCTGCGTGGGTACTTATCTTAACTTTACTGCCAGCGGCTTGCAAACTGTGTTCCGGATTATTAGTTTCTCTGTTATTAAATATAAAATATAATAACAGAGAAATTAATAATAAATATGTATATATTTTGATAGATTATTATACTTAAGCCGACTTGATACCGCAAAAGTTATAGTAATTTAGTATATATCTCTAGGGGATGACTAAGTTACTCCTGCCTATATATATTAAATTTTATACGTAATATTTTACATTAATAGTTATACATATTTATATAAACATATTGAATGGTGAGATGTAGCAGTGAAATTACAAGATAAGGAGTACAAGATAATAGGGTTGTCAGCCTTACATTTTTTTATTTTTTTTTGGCTTAATTTTACTGTCTTAAAAATATCGAGGATTGACCTCGATATTTTGGCGGATTTCCGTAAGATAAAATCCAGTAAAAAGTTGTATGAGGATGAAAAAATCTTCGAACCGAAGGCAAAAAATCTCTTACCTAAAACTTTATAAAGATTTCTTATTTCCATTAAAATAATCGTTAATTTTAAGTAAACAATTTACAGTTATTGTCAATGTATAATAAGAAAACCACACAGTTATATATTAAGGTATTACCTCAGTACCATAATGAAACATTATGTTTAATGACTGATGTTTAATGAATGATTGTTTTAATTAATTCGTCATCACACTCTTCTCCCACCTGCCAAAGACATCTGGTGCTTAAGTAACTAGCACTTGCAGTACCGTAAGTGATAGTACTCAGCTGCAGCGTTCGGATAGGCTGATGCTCGTCTTCTCTCCACAAAATAAGTTGTAGATTGCGATTTTCAGGATGAACTTCTATTTGGCGGTACATTTTAGCGATGTCACCTGTCAAAATGAATTTGTACTGACGCGATCGGATTAAAATGGAGAGAAGAGAGCTCTGAAGGTTCGGACCTACCATCAAAATGTCATTGACAGAATATCCGGAGGTTGTAGGAGCGGAGCCATCAAACACGACACGAACTTTAGTAGACTCGCTGTCGTCCTTGAAGACAGCATGATGGCATAAAAAATAATGAGACGAATTTGGAATGAATACCGGTGATTGAGACAGGTGTCCTAAATCAGAGTACTCGCGAATAAATTCTATATACTGTAATTTTAGAGTTTTATTTTTTCTGAATCTTTTTTCAAGATTTAGTAGACGTTTTTTTTGCTAAATAGTATGAGTTACCAAGGCAGTCTGGGGATTCCTTTAGGGGCAATTTCACACAAAATCTGCCTGTATTTAATCGTACTGTATTGTTTATAAAATGATTTTCGCAAGCTATTTCGTTGGGACTAAGAATATTCTTTCGTGGCAATTCTTCTAGTTCCCAGAATTTTATTAACATTTCGTCTATATTGCAATTTGAAATAATTGCCTTATTACATTGAATATTATTATTATTTATGATAGTTGAATGCAACGGACCAGCAACAACCCATCCAAATTTAGAGTTGTGTAATTTTGGTAAATTCGAGCCCAATTCATGCTGCTCACGGCCAAGTATATCCCAAAAGATGTCTGCGCCTATCAACACTTCTATAGGACCAGGTAAGTAAAAATTTGGATCAGCTAGCTTAATATGTTCTGGTATTTTAATATTTTGTATGTCAATAGGAGCCTTCGGGAGACTACCAGTCAGTTCATTAAGAACGTAACATCTTAAATTCACTTGGTAAGCACTATTAATTGATTTTAATTTAGTGTTACAATATTCTACAACATTATTTGAACAGTTGTTACCTATTCCTATGACTTTAATAGCATCTAATGAATTACATTTAAGAGATAATTTTTGTTGCAGTGATTTTGTGATAAACGATGACTGACTACCGCAATCCAAAAGTGCTCGAACTAACTCCGTTTTACTGTTTTCAGGATTATATACTTCTAACAAAGCTGTAGACAGAAGAACTTGGCTTGGGGTTTGTTTACAAAAAGTTACTACAGATTCATTCCTATTGGATTGAGAATGAATATTATTAGAGTTATGTAAAAGGGTATTGTGCATTTGAGTACACATTCGACAAGGACCCATTCTACATTCAGTGGTAGCGTGACCTTGTCTGAGACAATTAGGACATAATTTGTATTTAGTAACATAAGAAAATCTTTCGTGAATATTTTTTGATTTGAAAGTTGTACAATCATAAATCTTATGATTTCCATCACAGATTATGCAACGTAAAATATTAGGCTTATTTTCCGTAGTATTAACATAAGTATTAATATGCTGTACACGTTCAAAATTATTACGCTTATTGTTTTTAGAAAATTGACCTTGCAAAGAACGTGGTGCATATGGTGGTTTGCTAAAATTAGATGAAGAATATTTAGATGAATTATTGAAAGTTTGATTGTCGTTTGTACCTTTATTACGATTTAAGGATTGTAAAATATCGGCACGATCAATTAAAAATTTATTGAATTGTAATAAGTTTGGTACGTCGTCCAAACTGTTACGAAATTCTTCCCATTTTATCATGGTAGTAGTATCTAATTTAGATGTTAGCATATAAATGATCAATATGTCCCAGTAATCAGTAGGCTGGCCAAGAAGCGCACGTAAATTTTTAGTGACATGATCAACCAAAAACGTAGTGATTTTTCAGATTCTTTAGGTAACTGTTGAATATTAAATAATGAATCTAAGTGATGATTAATAAGAATTCTTTTATTATCGTACCTATCACAAAGCAGCTTCCAAGCTTCCTTGTAATTAGCTGAACACACTTCTAGATTTGATATGATTTAGCACAAGATTGGAATTTCTTTAGTGAAACTCGATATTTTACTTATTTAGACATTTAATATAATAAAATTGTACAGAGCAAGAATCACTTGTGTAAAATGGCCGAGTTAGTAGTGAGTGACATTTATTATTCTTCCACCCGCAACAAAGTGTTACATTTTTGCCGTAACTTAAGCGCGCGAACATCTTCCCTCCTTTGAAAGACATGACTTTCAACTTGAAGCTTCAGAAGTTGGCAAAGGGCACAGGCCAACCAGAGGTCGACGCACGCAACCTCTTGCAGTATTGATATCTGCCACCCGTGCTACACCGTCCGAGCCTGGGAACAGTCGAGAGACCCGTCCAAGACGCCAGCACAATGGCGGAGCATCCTTTTCTTTCAGCAAGACCAGATCTCCAATATTGAGTTTTGTTTTATCGGTCTTCCATTTCGTTCTTTGTTGTAGTTCAGAGATGTATTCCAATTGCCATCTTCTCCAAAAATGTTGTCGGATTTGCTCAAGACGAAGGTGTCGCTGGATTGGGTTTATTTTGCTGTCTTCTAATGCCGGTGCCGGCAGTGCATTTAAAGGTCTGCCGATTAAAAAGTGCCCAGGAGATAAGGAGTGAAAATCGTCAGGAGAGGATGACATAGGGTACAATGGACGACTGTTTAGTATAGCCTCCACTTGTGCGAACAAAGTTAATAGTTCTTCAAACGATAAATGTGTATTACCCATAACGCGCTTTACGTGATGCTTCAACATTTCGTTCACAAGAACAATTAAAAAGAAGCGTCATTCGAAACTAAGGAGTGGCGTAACTAATGGATCCACCGGGACGCCTTTGTAACGATGGGTGACGGTGACGAGAAAAATGAGGGTAGATCGAGTTACCCACTGAATGATGTAACGGTTACAGGTCCCCTGTGGATAAGGACGCTTTCAACAATTGCCGTGGCTTTATAATTGGCAGTTCTCAGATTTCTTCCACGACACCTTCCTCAGAAATTCCAATTCGAAATTTAAAATATCCTGACAAAATGTCCGACTTTTCCAGAACACGAACGACGTTCAAAATTAAAAACCAATTTTCTTTAATTGGTATATCTCAGTTTTATTCGTCGATACTTTCTTTGGAAATTCGTATTCGAAATTTAAAATATACTGTCAAAATGTCCGACATTTCTGAGGAAATTATTCAATATTAGAAATCATTTTTGGGAATAGATATTCATTTGATATTTTTAAGGGCTTTCATTACCAAAGTTTGATTGTATAGTATGCAATTTATATCTCACGAACTTTTTGCTTAGTCCGGGGCAGGGTTAATGACTGTGGTTTTTTTAGGAATAAGGAGAAAAATTTTAGGAGTCTGGGGGAGGAAATAATTGCTACAGTATCAGCTATGATCTTTAAAGAAGCACGGCATAGCAGAGAATACATATTCTTATGACTGACTAAATTTAAAAAATAAACTAAGTTACACATTCCTAGTCCAAAGTCACTTACGCATTGAATAATAGGATTATGCTAGTCCTATTATTATAAATGCAGTAGTGACTTTGTTATGATTTTACACCTAAACTACTAAATCCAATTTTCTAAATGAAAACAAAACAAAATCAAAATTCAAGAATTTTTATATAGACACAGAAGGAACCCTTCGAACTGTTTAGCCCAATTTTTCTAAAAATGTTGTAAAACTTATAGACGGTAGGATGAGAATGGGGTAATTATGTACGAAACTTTATAGTATCGTCCAATTTGCTTCAAACTGTACGGATATTTTCTGATAATTAAAAAAAAAGTAATAAAAATATCAACACGATCAAAGCCGCGGGTAAAAACGAGTAAGAACAAAAGAAGCCCATGATATGAGTGTGTACTAAAATGGTTGACATAAATCAACATTTACCAAGTAAATTAATGGCATAACAATTACTTAGCTGCAGACACCGCAAAATTACTAATCTCGAGTATGCAAATTGAAATTAATTAGACAAATGACATGGTTGACTGGCGGGCCGGTAATACTGGGTGGTATCCTGATATATATTCATAGACACTCATATTTATTGAAGCTCTTATTAGGTTATTACTCCATCATATAAAGTAGAAATAAGCCATTTAACAGCCTTGGTGGTTTAGCGGTTTAGCACATTGCTTTACTTCAGTTGGGCACAGGTTCGATTCGGGGCGATTGCAGGTTTGTTTATTGTACCAGATAAATTACAGGAATCAAAATTAACAGAGTAATAAGGTACCTTAATAAGGTAAGGAGCCTTATCGCTTATACAATCTCTTATAATAACCTTTGGGTAGAAGAGAAAAGACAGAAGGTGGTAGCTGGCACGATCATTCTATAACGATAAAAAGTATCATAATAATAATGGCAATAGTATTACAAATATTAACATAATATATTACATATATAAACATATATCTACCTACTATAACAACATGCAATGAATAAATACACAACACAAAATAATACGGGTTATGTACCACTAGGCTATGACGTTCTCTAAATGGTCAGAAACTTGTCGGCAAATTCTCTGGTACTGATAAGTTAGTACTGATGCAGTCATCAGTACTGCGGGTCGTACGGTTACCGCAGACCCATTTGCTACTCTTTTCAATAAAACAAAATTACGATGAGGTTCATGTTTTGTACTTGCCGACAAAGTTAACCCGCTTTACAATCACCTTCAGCTATGATGGACACAAAAGGATGACGGAAACATTAAGATAAGCGAAAAGGGTGCAGGGTCTTTCTAGTTAATAGAACTTGTGGGCCTTTGATTTCACTTTTCTGCTAGCAAAATAACATTATGTAGGTTGCCTATTTTTCGCCTAAAATATCTATTCTAGAGATAATACAAATATTGTATATGAAGCCTTTAAAAAAAATTGTGTAGGTAGAGAAGACAAACAAAAATATATAACCGTAGGCGTTGCAAACTATTTGTAATTTTTGATATATTTATGTTAATATTTATTTTTAATGTTCTTTTTATAAATGAATGAATATTCCTATATACATATATCATCACTTTTCACTGTTCCTACAGTATTATTATTAGTATGTACTAATATATCAGCACCATCTAGTCCTAAGTAAAGCAAAGCGTATGTTATGAGTACTAGACAACTAATATAAAAAGATAAATATTTTTTTTTGTATATGCATACATCTTATACATAGAATTCACACAGACCAATACAAAACATCATACTCATGAGTATAGTGTTTTTATTGTGCGAGGAATAGAACCCGCGACTATCGGAAGTGAGGCGGTGCAGGTGTGCTAAACCACTAGACCACGGAGACCGTCATAAGTAGTTATTTTTATTTGTTGTTTAATTCACCTTATATGTACAATCCACTCATCTATCGGTCGGTCGGTCGCAATAGGAAAATCAACAACTACAAATCATATAGCTAAGCATATAACAAAGTTATAAAAACAATGAAGCAATTAAATGTTGTAATAGGTATAATCACTTTACAATAACACTCATTAATAATTCATTCAAAGTTCAAAGTTGAACGTACCAACATTGTAATGAAAATTTCAAAGTGGAAATATCAGAGATCAATTTTCAAAGGACATCTGACTCAGGATACGGTTCGTGGATTCAAGAATCGAGGTGTTCGCATACATATTAAAGTTCTCGCTTGCACGCGAAATATATGATTTTCTCTATAACTTTTGTAAACAAATGAAATAAATAACATATATTCTAAATGTTTTGTTTGAGACATTAATTGATACTTGAGACAGAAGTTGCGGACAATTAATGGAATCATTAGCAATCTTTAATTATGTAGAAAATTACGCATAAAATATTCACTATAGTTTCAATACTTTGTACAGGGATTTACTTGATGATTTCTCTGTGTACTTTCTTCTTAAAATACACAACTATAACAAAAGGGATTCGAAATTTTAAATTCATTTCGAATTTTGCTATGCAACAATTCGAAATGAATTTCAAATTTCGCCGGAGCCAAAAGAAGAGAAAAAAAAATCTAGTGATATGATATAATACTGATGTTGAAGATAAAAATAATTCTATTTTTATCTTGGTATCAGTTTAAAAAAAGAATAAATTCAGTCATTTCTCCATGATGGGACAAGATAATGTGTTAATAGAATAAGACTACACGTCACTATATCACGCCCATTCTGTACGTGAAAGCCTACTTAGGAAACAAAACATACCACAACAATAGACTGTAATAAAAAAATCTAAATAAATGAAAGGTTCGCTTAACGTGGCAGTTACTAAACCACTATTCTGCCTTTATCGCGAGAGATCCTGACAGATCCTAGAGCAAACAAGCTGATTGCTCTCAAGTGGTAAACCTAAATAATAATGAACAGCACTAAGAACCTTCCATTTTAAAACCGAGCAGCCAGAATCATAGGTAACCAAATGCTTTATGACAGACTCGATCCATTGGCTTTGCGGACAAACATTGCATCTCTGTATATTTTCTACCGCATATATCTCGAAGAACGTTCGGATAAATTGTTCCGATTATTGACCAATTGCTGAATTTCACTGTTGAACAACCCGCCAGAAACTGAAATCTACCCTGATCATCTGCAGGAATAGCGTTCCTCCACTGTGTGTTTGGAAACTTTCTTCTCGCAAAATGAGATATGGAGTCAGGTTGCGGGTAAATGATACGATGTTGTTGGTCGAGATGATGTATATTACAGATGGTAATAAACTGACAGTATGTACATAGAAATAATGATCTTATATACTAAATAACAATAGGAAAATGTAAGGTGGGGTGACACAGTTTAGACATAGCAGTGCTTAGTAGACAATATTGAATTTGTCTTACTAGATATTATTAAATGCATTTATTATTTTAATGTAATTGTATCCCATAAGTCACTTTCCAGCAATGATATTTCATATGAAATAAGCTATTTTATATATACACCATGAAACCTTAAAGAAAATAGCTTATTCCTTCTTAAAAGGCCGACAATGCACTTGCAATTCTTTGCTCATGGGCGGCGGTAATCAGGTGAGTCGCAAGCTCGTTTCTCCCTTATACCATAAAAAAGGATTTCATGTCGAGACAGTAGTACCACAGATAATACAATCTGTAGTACCTACGTAGACAATTTCGTAGGTACAAAATCTGCCTCGGAAAATACCGCTTCCACTGACGAAACATCAAACAACAGTTACTTCACAGTTACCATTTATATTTAGAATATTTTTATAGAAACAAATACGAGTCATATGTGTTTACATATACGAGAAATAGCTACTAAATTGGTGCAAATATTTGTGTAGTCGGCAGCGAATCTCGGTCGTATTTGGATAGCTACCTTACCATTTGCATGATTAAGTATGTTATATTCATATTTGTACCAGTATATTTAAATAAGTCTTTTCCATGAAGTGATAGCCTTACTTCAAGAACATTTTGTAGTCATAAATGATATGTAAACACTTTAGTACCTTGTCATTTTAATATTATTGACAACACTGAATATTAATATTATCTATTATAAATTAATTGTTATTGTAATAAGGTTACATCTATTTCAGATGTTATTCTTACGTTATTCCTTAAAACCTTTCTTCAGTTTGGATGCATTCGGCCAGAGATATGACACTGAGATTAATAAGTATAAAGAATAGGACATTATGGTGAATTTTATGATATGTTTGGTGATATTTATGCTCCGACATCCT